TAATGCCGTCCAGTTCTCGTGCGGTTAATAGCCGGTACCAATTAGCTACCAGCTTACCCAAGTTTAGCTGGTGTCTAATCTCTATCATATCATAGAGGCGTTGTCCTAGTTGGTTGTCTGGCAGCCATTGGTAGTGCTAATGCGGTATTTTTTACATTTTACTGTATAATAATTTAATTTTTAATTCGTTTTTGCCTTAATTCACAGGACATCAAGGAACACCAAATTTGACGTTGTAGCACAGGTGAACTTTCAGTGATTTTGATAGATACGTTCGCGCCTACTGATTGATATCGCAAGGTTACTGTGTTCGGACTTTTCAGTTACATAGCGAACAACAGCTTCCGCTTTTGCATAATATCAAGATCGAATGGCAGCAGTAACGATGCACTTATTAACTATGCACCTCACAAATGCCCCTTTCTTTTATTTTCTATTTCCTTCTATTCCTTATTTTTATATCTTCTAATATAAATTTAAATAGTTCTATGACTCTGACTTCAAAAACCGAATCACTTCGGTTATATGTTGTTATATATATACGACACGCCGTCCTTTTATTTTTGGAACTATGTGACTAGGTGCTATTGCGTGCTGAGACGAGTAATGCCCACGGAAAAGTCAAAACCGTTCCTGCTATTTTCTAAACTCTCCAGTACATTTTCTTTATTATAAAATATGTTGCTAAAGTGACTGGACTCTGCAATTCAAAATTGAAGGCCTCCGCATGTTTGTAAGAAGGTTACACGATTTTAGATGAAAATCTTGATTTTTATTTTGGTACGGTATTTTTATATTTTTTGCGGTATTTGGTGCTCTAGCGAATTCTCTAAGTTTTCCACCGTTCCCAAAATGTTGCAATAAGCCGGTTCGCCGTAATGAGATCGGTGAGATAGGGTAGAGCTAGGATGTGCCATGACGTCATCCAAAATTAAATCTTTATTCTGTATGTGAATACAGCCTTAAAGGTTTCCAGGGAATTGTATTGAATTGCGCAATGTAAATCGTGGTCATTTTCCAATTCGAAAGAGGTAAATTAATTTTCGGTAGGAAGACCACCAACACAAACAGCTGCACCACGATGGTTAGATAACCATGTAGCACCAAGTTCTTACAACGTTTTCTTCATTTTTCGTCTATATTAATCACTTTTTACTTCTTTTTCACTTATTTAAGATAATCATAGCTTTTATTTGCGTTATTATTGACTGCCATAAGATTATTCTTTTTATATTTTTAATTTTTTTTTCTTTAAAAAAGTTTACCGTCACCAATAACTTTCTTATGAAATTTCATAGGTTCACAATTTTCGCTTGTTTCATCGTCTATTTTTGTCCGCCCTCTGTTTGCCTACACTATTTATATTCTACCTATGTTTGGCCTTATTTTGCTGCTGCTGATCTTTACTTTGATCGTTTTTATCCTTGACATTTCTACTTCCTCGGTCAAAACGAGAGCCGAATATTTAATTGAAGGTCTATGTGATTATACTCTCTTATGTTGAATCTGGACGTGCTGAGTGGAAATGCTATGTACCCAAATATCAATTTTCATATCAAAAATGCACTTTAAAGGGCAAAATTTTGGGTAAAGGTTATTAAATAAGCCAAAATACTATATACATGTCTATACCAAAAATTTGAACTTTATGGCGAACAACCGATGTCTGGCATCCCTAACCATGGTTCAAAATGCTTTTAAGTCTTTTTTCCTACAAATATATACATGCAAAATTACAGAGCTGTAGCTCATGATGAAGGCTATTATGTGTGTGATTTATTTTTTGGGATTCCTTTTCAATAAAGAATGACAAATTGAAAAAACTTATCCGTGAGCGAAGTCTTCGGTAAAATATAGTGGTTTTAGCTAAAAGATAATAGCTGAAATGTTTTCGCTTTGAAAACGACTAAAACTATTAATGTATTAATGGCTGTGGACGTGAAAATAACGATTTGTATGTCCTCCAAGTGTTCTTTTTAACAAATTTCTAGTAAAGGTCTACCGGATAGTTGGAGCGCTTACCGTAGCCGTCTTTTTTGGTTACAAATTTATTCGTCAAAAATGTTCTATAAGTATCGAAAATAACTGTTTTAATTGAAATAAAATGTTCTTGAAAAAATACGTACATACTTCTTAGGCAAAAATAGCTTATTTGACGTCAACAGAGCAAAGAACACATTGTGGGGCCTATTCTAGCAATGAAAATCGTAATATTTTTTAAGCTATTTTCACTGATTTTTTTGAGCAAATTTCTGATAGATGTCACTTCAAGCTGTAGCAGTTATCGTGACTAACATTATAATAGAACACATTTTTCCGTTTTTCCAAATATTATCCGTAACTATTTGAAAAGAACAAAATAATAAAAATGTCTTTCACACAAAATGAAACATTCTTAACAAACTTTCGTGGCACTCCTCGATAGATCTTGTAAAATAATAGTAACAATAATACATGTTCCTATACCTCGAATAAGTATTTCTCTATAAAGGAAACCAAAAACCAGATTTAACAATTTTGTTCACGGGTATTTTCTCTGAGTTGAATTCTGTTTGCAGCGAGACCTACGTCGGGGAGGTTCTTGGTATCAGTTGAAAGCTCTCAGTAAACTGAAACGTAATAGATGTTCCTGTACACAAGTTGCAGCTTCCTGGTCGGAAACACTATTTAAGGCACAAATATTCGATATGGTGTCCTGCTTAAATACGATTTTTCTCTCTGACAATGTCGATCAGCTGAACAAAAATGCAAATAATGTCTTTAAACTCAAAGATAGCATTTTGAGGCGAGAGTTGTTATTTCTCATGTGCTAAAAATACATTTCAAGTGCTTTTTGACCAAAGGCTTTGTTTAAGATACCCGAAAAATAAGATCAATAGGTTATATTGGATTTGTTATTTCGCATAATGTATAAATATAAAAATAAAAAAAATGTATAAAAAAAAATGTATAAATGCATTATGACTACTGTGTTGACCGAACGCTTTGTTTAGTACGTGTCAGAAACAGAGTCAACAGGCCAACCGATTCGATATACGACAATACGATGTAAAGGAACAACTGTGTTTTCTGCAACTGGATAAGTTTGCCCGGGGTAACGAGTTAACTTAGATAACAGGAACGATGGAAATTAGTATAAATTAGTTCAAAAGGATTAGTTGACTTCACATTGCCATGAACCGTACATTAAAAGCGTTAGAGTCTTTGTATCTGTCTATTTTATAATGATTGTAAATAACATACACAAGTAACCTAGGATTCGCATCTCACCTTACATACATAGATGACTATACATGTGTACAGATTGCACACATAGATGTTTCCAAATGCTTCTTTTACGTTAGGTTCAAATATGGGTAAGAATCAATGTACGAATCAACACTTGTAGAAGGAAACGTGTTTGGGTAAGGTAGAAATCATATTTGCGTAAATTGCTGATTATCTTGCTAGACTTGTTGGCTTAAAACCGACATTATCTTCAAACACCCTCAAAATGTTTTTGTCCTGTGTGAGCAGTGTACTTCTACTAACCAACAAAATACGTTCACGTATTAGTTGACGTAAATTTTGAGAATTATTTCCTATAAAGGAAACGTTTCGTCGTCCATCACCCAAGCCAAACAAATTAGCGGAGAATTCATACGTTCAAAAATATAAGCATCGTAAACCGCAAAAGCTACGCTAAATGTTTTGCTGCAGGGGATCAAGGATTGGCTTTGACTTGCCCCATGAAGCTGGGGAAACGATATTGCATGTAAGCGAGCAACTCAAAATAGATGCAACGTCAAGCTAGCTAGCGTTCTGTAATTGTAGAAATCGAAATTTTTCTCTAACACCGTAAAAGCGATAGGCGTTTTTACTTAGGAGTATGTTACCTGTATTGCCTTTGGTGGCTCATCGTCAGTTGCTAGGCTAAGCTATCCTAAGAGTTCCAAACTTTCGAAATTAACTAAATTGCTTAGAACTTAGCAGCCAAGTCTTCTTTTTTTCCTGATCAAAATTCGTATTTTTTAAACTGAACTTGCTAAGTACATTTTCACTGTTGACGATGGACAGGAGAATGTCGCGTACTGTGATCGATTTTTTTCGGGATAGGTTGACAGTTATGATTTTTCTTAAAATCGAATATTCAAATTTTTGTATAGCGATACCTTAAAATTAATCTGGTGACCGTCAATACTTGAAAACTCCGTGGGCAGCCTAAACAGGAATTAGGTAGTAAAGCAAAAGTCTAAAAATGAAGTGGAGATAAAAACAAAAAGATTGAAGTTTACATAGAGATTCTTCACTGAAGCACACATGGTAGTTCGGATGCTATTAATAATCGTCCGTAATTTCGAGTGTCATTGATGTAAAATTTATGAAAAAGCAAAAATAATGGTAACAATAAAAGCTAATGGAAGATAATATGTATTGCCGATGTCCACGCTGTTTCCCCACGAATAAAATACTGCCCTGTGTTCCAGGATCCCTAGTCGCAAATAGAGGAGTCCCTCCATAAACTACGTTCTGGTACACAACTTTTTACTCACAAATCCTAAAGAACAACTTCCTCTTCGATGGAACCATTTTTATACATATCTGCTGTAGGATTCTGCTGGACTCATGGAGATCGAATCTCACGAAAAATACAATACGACTTTCTTGACCTAAAATAAGATTTCATCTAACCTTAAGTAAAAGCGAACCGAATGAATTCAATTTCAAACAACTTGCTTCAGGGCAGATACGACCCTTGACAACTTTTCAAGAAAATTTCTCAGTCTCGTTATCCAAGGACTTAGATGGCTCCACAAATCTAAAAGCCTCGTACCTTGTCCACGGCAGACTATCTTTCGTAAATCAGCAAAACGGGTCCTGCATCTTCTTTAATCTAAACTTTATTGTTTTGACAGTTCTACAAGTTGAACTACCATGTACGAAACGGTACTGTTTCATGCAATGATGATACAGAGTTTATCCAAAAATAAAACGGTCACTGTGGGGTCTACATCCTCTTTTTTATTAGCAGTAGTCAATGCGCCTTTAAGCACACACCCTTAATCGACGGCGTTAGTTGTAGGTGAAACATAAAAGACACCGCGTACATACAAACTGCGCAGTTTGCCAATTTTCATAGCTAAAACTGTATGATTTTGCAATAATAATAATAATAATAATCGCTCCGCTATACAATAACGTATCCTAGGGAAGTTACCTGGCGACGTTTGCTTAGCTAGGTTATCCCTCTGTGGATGCTTTTACAAGCCGATTCTCCTACTGCCTATTAGGGCGTTACATAGTACTACTTATAAAACTCATTCTTCTCGTCGTAGAGTGTCACATTCGAACGTAGGAAAAAATAGGCGTCTATACAGCGTTTTATTAAACATAGATATGAATTTACACATCTGCATACATAAATTGATACGCGCATAATACAGCCTTAGTAATTCTTATCGTACGAACGAACATTTTTTCTCTCATTCAGACCGCTCTTCCTGGCTAATGCGCGATGGCAAATTGAGATCAATTTTGCCGAAACGGTTAGTTTTAATTTTAGATATATACTGTTAAGCTAATAGACGATATCCGTAATGTACATCTTATAAACAAATGTTACCACAAATAAATATGTATGTATATATGCAATTGGATTAGATTGACTTAGAGGGTCTTAGATGTTCGAAAACACATCGGCTTCTGTGTGTGTATGTTATGTCCTTGCAACCCTGAATTTGTTATTACTTTTGCTGTTTCAGTTGGAAATGGTCACCGCGCTCGGGCGTCTTCAGACGGTTCTGCCTTGTCCGGGTACTGATGGCAGCCATTTGGAGAGCCTGACGGTTCTTACGTTCTGGAACGACGATTCTGTGACGATGACTGCCGCCGCTTTTCTTGCGGAACAGATTTTCCAGTTCGCTGTTTGCCAATGGCCTGAGCTGACTTGCCGTGCCCCGACGAACCATAGACACATAGTGCGCTGCGTCGTCGCTACTGTCCTTAGCCTTTGAGAGGAACCTATGTCGAGTGTCGAAATCGTTGTTACTACGGCTGTGGCGAATGGCATGAACTTCCCGAGATTTGCGCTGATTTGCGAACTTGTTGCTGGATAGGTCCTGTGGCTCACTGTCAGGTCGGAGCTGAGAAACTGATACGGTCCCATCCAGAGCGTGGACATGTCCAGCTAGATGATCGAGATCGAGCACGTCGAACGTTTCGGATTTTATTGCCCGGGGCCCGTCAGAGAGAACCCCGAAACGACGCAGGACATTGTAGTCTTCTTCGGAGGAGCGCAGTAAATACGCCTTGCAGCTTGCAATAATACAACTAAACACTGACAACAATGTGATGACATATTTCATACCTGCAAGAAAACACAGAAATACGCGCGTTGGATTGGGCAAAAAACTTAGCAAATATCATCATATTTTCACATAGTAGCAACAGTAGTAGTAGCAGCGGTAGCGATTTGGCGGCACAATCTATATTATCCTCTATTTAAGAATCAGTACATTAGTTTGGACTACCCATTACAAATATGGAGAATATATTAAAACGAAGTGCGCACAAAGACTTAAATCACTCTAATTTAGATAATGTTATAGTCACCTACCGTTCATCGTATTTGATGGAGCTATTGTTGGAGCGTTACTAATCAAACACGACCAGACAAAACTGCCGCTTGTCGCTCGTACGTTGGTATTTCACCTTCGAAAGAGCTGTCCTAGCTAAATTGTAGTCGACCTACAGCTTGCTCGACAGTTTATCCGCATTCGAATCTGAGAGGAGTCCCGTTCCTAGCGAAATGTGCAGGTCAGCCAGCATGCCAGCTCCTTTTCTGCTGATCGCGTGGGCGAACATAATCCAAGCTCCGCCTACTTCTCGTCACAGAACGAGCATTATTCAATCTAATGTACCCTCGGTAGCTTTCCTCGACTGCAGAGGGCTGGTTTCAATACCGTCGGACCGCGGCAGCCCCCGCCCCACACCAAATGAAACCTGAAGCGGATGCTAGCAGCTGTCACTAGAAGTCGGATGCCCCTCTAACACGCGGCGTGGCTGATCTACCGAAAGAAGCCAAGCCGACTCTCGCACCAGAAGTGTGCCACAGAGATGATACCCTTCCGCTGGTAAAACTCCTGATCAGCCGTTGAAGGAAGGCTCGAACTCAGCGGTGTTAGCCCGTAGGCATGAATTCGACCCATGGAATCGCGCATAGAAGGTATCCCACACCACAGCACCCAGAAATTCACTATAATCAACGACTAATGTATGTGAAATAAGAAAACTCAGAAGTTGACTCCTACAAGTCAGGTCTGTATATACTCTACTAAGCCTATACATCTGCAAAAAGAGTCAAACTATTGTAATTCTTATACCTGATCAAAGTTTATTTATTCACTCAGTTTGCAGTGCAATGAGGTTCATTCGCTAAATAATGGATTACAGAGTTACGATACAGTTTTGTACGATCTACAATGTGCGAACAATTAGGGTTCTCATACTCTCGCCAATTTTGCAGCGGGTTATGTTGAAGACCCATTTTTAAAATCCAGAGCCAGGCGTCATTTTGTGGAGTATGCGTGGTGAGGAATTTTGCGTCGTCTAGGTTAGTGCAGAGGAGGGTGTGCCCTATCCCTTCGGTTTCATAAGCGTAACGTAATTAGAACGCATGAAATGGTCTATAGGTGTACTTATAATGTTTAGAGTACATTGATACCGTTCGACGCAATTCGAAAAATATTTGGGAGATGATCTGCACCTGAACAGGCTTTTGCTTGAGAGAAGTAAAAAAACATAGCTTTTTATGCGTACTCTCTTTATAATTATTATTATTAAATTTACTATTATAATATACTAAGAAAACGAAATAAACCGATAGTAATACACAAGTTCTTTGCAGCGAGGTCTTCTTTGAGGTCACGTTAATTAGTGTAACGATTATTTCCATTTTACGGTAAATTGTTTTTCTCTATTTATGTTACATGTATTATTCTGCTCATTCGATTAATACTTTTCAGTTTAATTAATATAAATCATACAAAATTCTATCAAAATAAAAAGGTTCCCTATGTGAATGTTCATATTGGTAGTTCCAAACAACTGACTTCCTGCAGACCACCATTGCTAAGCAGCCGTCTTCAATGCCCTGGAAAACAAACAATGCTTCAAAGAATAGAACTTCCCCGCTTTAAGACGTGCTTTCAGCAAATATTGAGGAATGTTCAGACTGCAAGAATTCTCCAAACGCTAGCCAGTACTGTTATCCTCTAGAAATCGTTAGGTTCCTTTCAAAGGTAAAAAAATTACCCTACCCCGCTTCAATTTGAGTTGTACTATACAATACATTTCTATTTGGATTTTTCCATTGGACACACGCAGCGGCTTTCCAAAATCAGAAATTTGTCATAGGCATATTGAGGAACATGAACCTAGTTTATCCGATTCTGTTCGATGCAAGGATCCCTCTATGAAAACTCGTCACAAGCACAGCGAACAATTAGCGTCTATCTGTGTCCCGTTAGGACTCTGAACCGGTCTCCAAGTCGAGTTTCTTGTCCCGGTAGTTCGGCCTTCGATAGACTCATTTATCAAATTCCGATTCTGAACTGACTGCTTATATATCGTATGAACACATTTTGAACAATTTATTTTTATTCGTTGTTCTGTAAGCATAACAGCAAGATAGCGATGTTAATTTTGAGACAAGGAATAAGAAAAATTTTTTAAATGTGTATTGGAAAAGATTAAATATTGACGAAAATCTTCAATGTCCGGAAAGACTGTAACTAGATTTTACAGTTTTCTGAAATAAATTTCAGTGGTTCATTTCGTTTCTTTATTTATTTTAAGTTATACACAATTTTGTAGGTAAGTTACTTACATGAACTAGAATGCGAACAAAATGTATCGAGTGTTATCTGTTGTCACTGTGATTAGTTCGTTGAATTGCTGAGCAACTTTTTAAACACTCTGTATGTATATAATCCACTTCTCTAGATATATACTCAAGGCTTTTTAGAAATGAAAGTTACTGGTTAATATATTAACTTTGGAACTTTTCTACCAGAAAAAGCTTTTGAAAAATTCAACCCAACAGCCTGGTCAACATATGTTCTTTGATTAGGCCGTGTGAATCTCCTGTCGAAGCCAAAAACAAGCGGCTTTTTCATACCAAAATACTACGTATGGACAATGCTGAGTCGTAGAAGTGGCTTTAAAACGAAGACAAAGTTCAACAGCCGAAAAGGATTTGATTGGACAGATCTGAGAGCCTTCTGGGTCCTCAGACAAAGAAAGGACAGGTTTCGCATATTTCAAAATTATCAGTCTTTGCCTGATCAGCAGTTACTTCGCCTTCAAAGGAGGCTTAAAACTAACCGCCGGTTCTTCAAATTTTGAAAGTCTTTGAACGGCTGCATCATCGGAACAGCTATGACATAGAATTCATGTACGTATGTATCAGGCGATAATTAGTCTCATCAGTGAGAACTGGGTACATAGCTTCAGTTCAAAGAAATTCAGACTTCCCTTTTTTTCTCTTGTTTTGAACCAGATAACATTGTACCCTCGCCGTTCTTGTTATTACCGTTTAGTTTAATATCCTGCTGTCACCGCGCTGAGCGAAAGCAATAATAGAATTATTCAAGTTTAAATGAGAGTGTACATGTTCTAACCTATCACAGTATGAAAATTTTGAGAACGATGCGTGAGTAATGTACACCACTTTACCATGAAATGTAGAACACATTTATCGAAATTGTAGAAATTTTCTGATTGTTTCTAAAACACGTCCCTCGGCAGGTCCTGCTGCTCGCTGTCAAATTAGAGCGGAGAAACTGACGTGGTTTCGCCTTCGACGCCAACATGCTCGGCTAGATAATCGAAATCGAGCATCAAACGGTTTTGATTCGCCTGCGCAGAGCTCGTTAAAGAAAACTCGAGACGGCGCATGACCTCTCAGTTTCCTTCAAAGAGCCCCAGTGAATTCGCCGCGTGAACTTGTCACTGTTTTACCAGATTGTTATAGTTTTTAGTTTAGCTAGATATCATCTGCATACATTTACACATCGGGATTCGTGTTGTATCACTGTTGTGCTATTGAAAAAAAATGGCGCAAAAAGTACGTGTGATATATAAAATGTCAAATCATAGGTATTTCGATAGTTGTATCTTTATCCGCTTAAGAGGCTGCACTTTTACGAGGTTATGATGTTATCATTCGTCACTGGAACATAAGTAAGTTTCTTTGAAAGCAGCTACCCTTGCTGAACTACCGGGGAGCTACAGATTACATAGAATTTTTTCCGCATTTGAACCCGACAGGTGTAATGTCACCGGCAAAGTACACACCAAGCATAACTAAAACCTCGCTTTCGCCTCTTAGCTAAGTCACCACTCCTCAGTGTAACGTACATCTTGTAACTTTGTGCTACTCTCCCTACCCTCCGAGGGCGCAATAACCACCGCCCGGGACTGCACCAAACCTAAAGCGGGCGTCGATACCCTACTGAAGAAAGGGGACCCTCTCAGGCCAGGAAGCAGTTGATATGCCGAAGAAACCCAAGGCAATTTCAGCACCACGTGCATGCGACTAAGCTAGTAGTTTTCCACTGGCAATATCAACTCGTTAGACACCAGTAGAGGGCTTTGACCCCCAGCAACGATGGGAGAGGCCCACCGATCGAACCCACAGCGTTGCGCATCGAATATCCGGAAACGGCATTTGCTAGGAATGATCAATAACCGACTAATGCAAACACGAGTAATGTTGTAAATTTTGAAAATGGGTAAAACTATGATAATTCTCATAGCTTCCACATCCTTTGCAGTACAATCAAGCTGGCTAGACCATGTAAGGACAGAGAGAGTACACCGCAACGACGAAAACTATAGTGTACACAACACAGTTGCAATTTACTTAAAGTTTCATTACCTTTACGGTCAGTTATGATGACCGCCCACTTCTACAAACCAGAACGCTCTTTTATCGACTCTAGACAAAATCCGGCAGCCTATTTTAGTGAAACACTCAACAGGGCTTATTTTGAAGCGTCCACTCGCGAGTGTGTGCTCGATTGCAGAGTTCAGCTGTATCAACAACCACCAGAACCAGCTGTGTTATCCCGTTCGCGGGGATATGCGTTTGGACGAAATGAATTCATCAGGACCTTCTTCGTAGCCATCGTATCGTTGTGAGCTTAGCTAGATAACCCGTCATTGGTTATTCAAACTGCTAGACTTAGAAACGGTGTAGATCAGTACATAGCAATCAGCGATTTAGTTTTTCGCATACCCGGTTGTGTACTATACTTTTGTGACTAAATCAGTATTCTCTATCGCTTATTATCAACCTATAGTGGAATATAGCTTTCCAAAAAATTACCTGCTTCAAGACGGATCGAAAGTAATTTTGTATATTTTCCATAGTAGTCATCATTAGTACTTCTAAAAGGTAAATGCTTCTTAAGAATTTTCATAGTACGTGTATTCCACCTGACACCATTTTGCTGACGGATTCGTAAAAGTTTCCACCTTTATACTCTCAATTCTTTCAAGAGATGATCGAGGATCATTCGAAGTCACGGAACTTCGCTGTTCTTTAAGAACGGTTTATGCGAGAGATATGTCAAAGTAAATTTATCACAATAAGACAACGATTTATTGCCAACATCTACAACTGTTATGACGAAATACAGATCGCATTTTACACGCAAAAAAGCATAAAAAAAGAAGTAATTTTTATCAGCAAATACAGTAACACCTAAAACAACCGAATGGTGATTTTAAAACTCTGAACAGCAAATGGCTAACCAATGGATAGAGTGAAGCTATGTGTCTACACAATAGAGTTCATAATATACAATAAATAATTACAATGACAAGTATTACAGATATCAAAGCAGCTGGCGATTACGTCATTCAGACTTTTCTTTTTGCTATTTGTGATTATACAAATGGCTTTAACTGGAATCTGTAGCGATAGATGAGGAAGTTCGGATCATTTTTATACAAAAACAAAGTGTTCTTGGATTGCTTAACGCACCAAGACTCGGAGGGCCCGATTTCAGCACCTTTTGATGGCCCGCGAAACGAATGAACTGATAGTTAAAGACTGCGTTTTAGTAGTGCGCGTTTGATGAGCGGAGTAATATGGCACGTTTTGATTGTGTTGATCAGTTGGTTTTATCAAACAGCAATAAAAACGTTGACTACCTAACGAGACCATTGAGTTTGGCTACGCAAGCTCAAGCAGATACACTAAACACACACATAATCGTATCATCGTCACACACGACGCCGGCAACTCACCGCGACGAGTGATCCCTTTGATCAATTTTTGTATTATTACTTTACGTAATCCAGCTGACGTTAATACTTCGATTCACTATTGTGTTCGCTTACATCTAAGATATGCCAGAGATTTCAAAAACTTATAACATTGCAATTGCGTTTGGCTGGCGGGTTGCGTGTTTTCCAAACGTTGTTTATCATGCAAGAAGATGCCAGAATAATCTGATACTTCACAGCTAAGATACGGCGTAACACAGTTCCGTTGTCTTTACTGCGTTACGTATATTAATGTCATACTTCAGAGTCGAAGTGATTATGTAGTTTACACAGATGAAAAATGAAACGTAACTTTATGAATCGCACAGATCTTTGCGAAAGGTCGTCTCTTTTGTGGTTAATATTTGGGAAACAATCAAGCCCCCCCCTCTCTCTCTATATATATATATATAGATATAATCTCTATAAAAGCGAAGGTTTCTCGACCTTATAAAAAACATTTGTATACTATATATATATATTATACAAATGTTATTTATACTTATTTTATACAAATATTTTTTATAAGGTCGAGGTTCTCGACCTTATAAATTTGCATGTATCATATACGTATTGATAGAAATACATTGTAAAAGTGAAAATGCAATTTCTGTAGGTAGACGCGCACGTCTCCCTCTATGCACCTGTCAAGCGCTCCCTAATAATCACAATGACTTCTCGTAAGAAATGGCATTCTAATGCGGAACAGTCCAGCCGGAAAATAGCAGCGCTACCGTATAAACCTCTGTGGTAATCCGTGGATTGTTTTAAATATACGAGTTTAAGCGCACGATCCTAAATATTTCAAACAAGCACTTGCACCGTGTTAGGATGCATTTTCCTAGCCTCCACTTTGCGCATCGTGTGATGCGAATCGTTTTGCTGGCACTTTTAGTTCTGTTGTTTGTGTTGCTGGTGTCGACGCTAAATTCAGCCATGTCGGTTGGCGCCGCTTTTGAGGAAGCTACCCGAATCAAAACGAAGCCAGTGTCAACCCGGGCTGGACATTTTCGCGAGCCTCCGATGAACCGCGGTCAATATTAACTTGTCAGGAACCACAGCGGTCGAGATTTTCACCACCACTGCGAGTACTCGCGAAATGCTAGCAGAACATTTCAATCTAATAAGAAAGTTAGATTTTATCGCAAGCCGAAGTTGGCGTCTACAGACGGGACTTCCTCGGAAGATAAATCCTACGAAACGTATATATATATGCATATATCTAGTTGTTAAAAGTGCGGCGCCTATACAAACGTCATAAGCCAATCTGCGCGAATGTACACCCGAGACAAATTCAATTACGCAACTACGATACAGTTCGCTATAGACAAATGTTGATAATGATGGTAATGATACAATTATAGCACTCGAAAATATACTGAATAGGGAAAATAAATCTTATAGATAAATAGACACGAGATGAAATATTACTATACACTGCGATAACTGAATAACTTCTAGCAAATCATTGCGTGTATCATTCCGCAAAAAAACTGAGTAGTTGCAAACAAGATTTTACCCTACAGACAACAAGGCATTGGGTAACCATGAAGTAATGATGAGCCGCGTAAAAGGTTTTATTATTGACCATATTTATTCGCTGCGTAAAGTTTTCTCCATTTTTTGCGAGAAAAAAATCACTAATAATGTTTCTTCCAATGTGAGAAGTATTTGCATTTACAGATATTCAGACCGTAAATGGAATATATACAGTAACGTGTGGACATATCCGTATAACTTTATGCATACCGCTCGTTCTTTGCATTTTGTACGACACCCCTAGAAAAGAAAATCAGCGTTCTAAACTGAACAATTTCTGTTCTGTCCGCCTAAGCATCCAGTTGTCATTAAGGTCACATTGTATCACGGTCACAGAAACCTTGCACTAGTTAATATCTTGAGTCATTGTTAGTTAGAAAATGAGTAAAATTGTACCGTTTAAAACGATTACCATCGACGAGATCAAAAGTTTAGATTAGTCATTCTCAAGAATAGTATTCCTTACATATTCTTTGGATAGCTGCAGAAATTATTATAAAACAGATAGGTTCGAACGAAATGTTCAAGAAAGACGCAACATATAATAGTTAATTTGCAAATGCGCACGACGATGTTATCAACAAATAGGGTACTAGAGGTAATAATATGAAAACCACTATGTCAAAAGGTTTGATACATGTTACAAAGCCCGAAAAAAAACTTGACCCGAAATCTGCTATGGCTGTTGCTCTATTTCATTAAATATAGAGTCTTACCAAAACATATATTTTCGAGAGGTTTTACTACATTACAGATCATCTGCTAACAAAGATACGTATCAAAATGTTTTGAAGATCAAGTAGAACTCTGAACGGCTTTAGCTTCAACTCATCTGATACAGAGATCTGACTCATGAGGACAACTTCAATGCATGACAGCTACACAGCAACATTTTTATTAACATTTTCGTGGGTAGACTGCCTGTATAGGTAAAACTGTATCGTTGATATTCGACAGGTGAAGTTTATAAGACACAAGCACAGAATAAAGCGGATGGAAACAGTAGTCATAGCGCTTTAAAGTAGCAGCGTGTGGTAACAGCGATATCTTATATGTGTCACAGCTTTACACTCTCAAAATGAACACTAACACTTTATCATTGTCGAAGTGCAAACTTGCACTGTTGTATTACTTGAATCTCAAACTAAAAATCAACTTCGAAATCTATATCGATTTTAGTCATATTGCGAAATAGCTCAAGGTGATCTCGTAGAGCTTCGACATCGACACAAGAGACTGTTGAGACCATCCATAGCATGGCTAGAAGATGGATCACTTTCGAAGTTCGATTTCTTTTTCCGACTCTTTCGGAAATTTTTTGTTTCATTTGTTTATCAGTTTGCTTGATACGGTTAAATAAGAGTAGATGGTGAGGTTAGTGCTGTTGTAACGCAGCCACTTATCGATCGACGCCTTTGACGCTCCACGAACATAAAGAAAAAGTCCGTGACATTGCCGAAAAATAAGTAACGACAGCTAATCCTAAAAATGATCAAGAAACGGAATAAAAACAATCACTTCCTACAGTGGCTGAAGTTTCGGGGTTGAAGATATTTCGTCACACAATTTGGCGTCATATTTGAGAGTGCAAAGAGCTAGATGATTTGCTATCGAATATTCACAGGGCTTGTGTTTCAAAACGGGTAACCTCTTTTTCTAGGGATTCGATCTCATAAACGTTGGCAACTACATGTAGCTATCGATCGTTCATAAAAACGCGCTTGTTGGTTGCACAAATCCCTTTTGTTTCTCGCCTCTTCGAGCTTTTACAGAGACATCCTTAAGTGTATCTTTCTTCTGTCGACTCACCCTAACTATACAATTGCGCTATTGCTGTGCGAAATTTACACATAGACCTTAGGTTAAACTAAGCTATTTATCCGAGTCGATCTCGTCTGAAACCCTACGAGCCTCTTGCATTTATTTAATTGGACTCTAAAATATTGGCAATGCGGGAAGTTTTTAGCTCAACGCTTTGAACACTAAAAAGCGACGCGATTTTCGCATTGGAGGAACCTAACACCGTGAATGAAAGCTATCGACGCATGTACTAGATTAAAATATTTATTTAAATATCAGGCAATGATCATCAGGCTCACACTGAGCTGTGTCAATCCAAGATATAATAAGAAGGTCATAAAGGACAATATACTTTTTACGATTTTCAATCAACTGACACTTCGTCGATTCGATGGGTTAGTAATTGCAGTCCACTAATCTAGACCTTACGTAAAAAAGGATCATACTTTTAAAAGCACCAGATAATACTCCTCATGCCCTGTTGTTATAGTTACGTGTGGAAAAGCGTATACATTGAAATTACTGTTATTATGTTAGGTTAATCTCGGTTTAGAATATTTATTTTTATTGCTGCATTAACATTAAAAATGATTGAGTACTAAACATACTCTAATCAAATTGCCTGTATAGTTGTTCGTAGCCCATAAACCGTATTAAGATACTTGTACACAACGTGGAATGTGCCGTTTACAAAACACATAAACTGTCCTGCTAATTTATTTTTTAGCATTGCAATTATCGGATGTTTCCTGCCTTTTTTTTTTGTTTACGACAGTGATATGCGTAGATCGCGGCCTTTATTTCGTTCTGTGTCAGCCACATAGCGTCCGAAAAATCCTTGACGAACAAGTCAGCAACGATAACATGGGAATGATTACGTAAGTTGGTTGTTGTATCCTTTTAATATTTTTAGTTCTCGCAGCCTATACTTTTCATGAAGGACGATTTTTCTATGCTTCAGTTACACGATAAATACATTGGTGTTCTCGACAAGAGTCAAGGACAAGATTTTGAAGATGTGCAGCATAATATGCAGAAAAACTCGTAATTCAAAAGGCTTCTCTGTTTTTTTAGTCTTTTTTTTTTATTGAAACAACGGAAGAGGCACGCATTGCAAATCGAATCCCTGTGTAAGCGGATTATTAGAATTCCATACTTTGTTGCATTTATAATGCACATATTTGATACTGTAACTTGGGATCCTCGTACAGAAATTGTCTCTTCGAAATCACTCGTAAATTTGCAAAAATAAAATAACCTTGCACTGATGCCTGTGATTCTCCTAACTTGGCGCCTCTAAATGAACTATCGTTATTCTTGAGTCAGTTCAGCATGAGTACTGTTGAATTAAAACTACACCATCAGACCGATTTGGTTGAAAGAAATTCTGCCAATTGGTAGGCCGTCCAACTTGCTTGTTTCATGTTAGCCATTAAATGTTACTGTGAGTAGGACAATGGATTCTGAAAAGAGCAAATTATGTACACGGCTGGAAGACGTTCCTACGCAATACAATACATATATGCGACACTTTCCATGACGTCACTTTTCCTGATCTCGAGCATACTGCTTATGCTCAGAGTCGTATATTTACTGCATCACTAGAATATGCTTAAATATTGTCCGTTTTAAAAATGTCAAAGTAAATTTAGGTTCATATTGCTTTAGTGTTTCAATCATTTACATGAAGTCTACAGTAGTATATAAAAACATCATTTGGGCATGGATGGTTGTAAACGAGTGGTACCGATATTGAAGTTCGTTGTTTAAAAAAGTCCCTAAAATTCATTCATTTGCCTATATTTTTCAAGTCTTTTTTCTAACTAAACCGGTAAGATCAGTGACGTATGCGTTACAGAGCAGAAATCCTTTTTTTAACCTGCCCCCAGCCAAGCCAAATGCAAAGCATGCGGTGAAAGTATGTGAATCGACAAGTGAAGTGCGTGGCGGGTAGAAAAGCTCGCAAAGATTAGTGAGCGATCATTGACGAATCCTCCGAATCCTGATTTAGACTAGATTTCTTCAACCTCCCATCCTCTCTCGTTTCTCGTAACGGTGGCTCTTCCGCCATCTGCTGTCCGAGCATTTTTGTTACCATCTGGTTGCGACTCAGGTTGCCTCCTTTTTAAACTTCTGTCAAAGTCTATCTGCCGCTGGCTAGATCTGTACTCTATTCGTTCTCTTGAAGAATCCCTGCGATCTAGTTGACCTCTATCGTCAGCTTGAAACTCTCTTCGCGAGCTGCACCCATGTCGATCCCTGTCATCGTCCCTCCATCTTCGATCCAAACGTCTGCCCCAACGTTCGTCACGTCGATCTCCACCACCGCCTCCCCGGTCAATACCATCCCGCCGACGGTTGCAACGACGATCATTGCTCCATCCAGCTCTGTCAACATACGGCAGAAATGGTTACATTAAGATAATGTTTGGATAGCTAAGCTATCTGATCTAAAATCAATCAACGTTCGCATTAAATCGCTAGTAAAATAATCATGGATACCATTGATTATGAGTCAATGGATTTTACTTTTCTGAGCATCGCGATTACTTGAAAAAAATATATGTATACATAATTAATTTTTGGTTAATCACAATATGACCACAATGCAACTGTATTAGCTTTGCACTAGTTTTGCTGAGTAATCAAATTCCAATAAATTAAAATCCTAACAAATGTACTATAACAAACGATCATTATATAATACATTTCAAAAAAGTGTTCGTTTACCTTCCTCGACTGCGACTCCACTGCTCGATGACCGGTGGACCTTTTCTGATTTTCGCTAGATGCTCCGTATAAAAGAGGTCATTTTCTGTGTAGCGATCTTTGAGGAGCTCGTCCCACCGCGAAATCTCCTCTTCTTCTGTTAATGTCATTATACTGGTTTCCCTCACTATCCAATAATCCGCGACACTCAACGGTAAACTGCCAATGAGGCTGGTAGTAGAGCTAAACATCAATCAGACAAGTAAACACATATCCAATTTATTTCTTTACATGTTCTTCCTTGTAAAATCTGCGGGTCTCAAATGGGAACTGGAAAAAATGTATTATATGCTGAAGGATAAGAAGATTTACTATTGATGCGAACGTTTTAAGGGGTTATCATTTAAATCACATCTATAATTGCGGAATAATACGCTTGGGCTATCTTAAAATGGGTCTATGATCGTGCAACAAGACCGTGCCAAGGAGACGCCTCAAATTAGTCTATCCGTTTACAAAACCCAGACGTAGTTAAGTCGTGAGGACTCATGAAAGCACAAATTCTACTGACGTAGACTGAAGCTGTGTTTATAGCACTTGGATTTAATGTTTGATCTCTTCAATAACGTCAACTACCATTAAGGATAATGTAAGTAACGAAAGATCACAATTTTTATTGGTAAACAAACGACGTTTTCCGAGTTCGTGTAACTACCCTGCAACATAATAACATAATCCCTAAATTTCTGCTTTAATAATATAGTCCCAAAAATAATGCCTAACTACTTGGCACATCTTACAGAATTTCTCAACTAATTTCTACAAATACAAACGCCTACACACACTCGAAGATAACTTTCCTAAATCGGCAGAATAAAGAACAAACCAATTTAGGGGGGGGGGGGGGTAAGAGGTAACAATATGGTCTCTTTTGACGGCCTTTTGTACTAATGAAGTAAAGATAGCCCGCAAAACCTTTCTCAAAATCTATATCTACATCGAAACGAACGAAACGAGAAGAGTTCGTTATTGAGTAGATATGATCAGGTTGATTTGTCTGCCTTAGGAAGCGGTAAACAGATACATGCGCTCTAATTTAACCGATATAAAAAAGTCTACTAGGTAATCTGAAGACTAATACCCCTCGGCTCCATGTCAATTCAATGCCTGTAACAGGAATTATCGATTTAAGTGCATGAAGGCTCCTACATGACTAATGCTAGTTAAAACAACGTATATAAATGTGTTGAATTTACAACTTTATTGTTATTTTCACACATTATATATACAAAGCATTTCATTTCACTGTTCGTAGTAAATAGTCAATCGATACGGATTACCATCCCTTAATGAGAAATGATCTTAGATCACCCTCTTACCTAGCCATTTATTCTCCTGTTTTGCCCAATAAAGTCGCTGGCTACTATAGGACCAAGGCCCGAAACAAAAACCGATCGTGAAGGCTACTTATTCGTCGCTAATCAACGCGACATCTCGCCGCTGACTTGGCCGATTTTAGGTTATTTTGCGCAAAACAAAACTTCACTTAATGTTTCTAAATACTTCTGAGGCGCAAATACGATTCTGCAGTTTGTGCAACTCATACATCCACCCGTAAATAGCATAATCTACTTAGACATCTGTGTACGGTCGATGACAAATGAAGAATCGGCCTTCTATCATCTCACTTACAGACCGCGTTCTATTGGATTTCACTGTAGTGATTTCAGTTATTCTTCTTGCTCCCGCCAAATCCTGAAAAGCCCATCATGGCCGATATGTCAGGATCAAGTCCTGTCCCCTCCTCGTCTGCATCCGCCTGTTCCTGTTTTCGTTTTTTCTTGTCCTTTTTCCTCTCTTTCTGGTACTCCTTAAGTCTTTCGCTTTCTTCCTCGAGCTCTCGGACACGCTCGGTAAGGTTGTACTCTTTTTTCTTCTCATCGGTCTTTCGGCGCATCATCTCGAGACGATTCTTGACCTGATCAAGTGATGAACGTTCGACTTTCATTGACATACCAAGGTTCCGTTGATGTTTCTTTCCATTGATGTGATCGAGAAAGTTGATCGAGTCTTTGACTACGCAATCACATACGTTGCAGTAATATCCGCCAGCCTGCGAGTGATCAGCGGTCTTCGAGATCACCGTCGTCTTGCCGAGCTTCGAGTCGAGATCGACTTTGTATTGCCGCGGCTTAAGAAGCTCCCGTTGAACTTTCTTCTCCCGTCTAGACCCAGAAGGTCTCGAAAGGTTAGGTCCACAACCATCTGAATCTTCGTCCTCATCATCTGAGTGCCTGCGTTTGCCGTCCTTTTCAGCTGCTCGGTCCTTGGCACGCTGTTCATACTCTTCCCGGTCCCACTTACGACGGTGGTCGCCGGGATTTGAGAGTGAACTCATTATGACGCACGGCACAATTCGACGTGCGAAACTAATACACGAAACACACACCCAGAAACACGAAGCACTATCGCGTTACCGAAGTTAATGTGGGCACACCTTCTTCCTTTTGCTATGCCAACAGCAGTGGCTCAAAGTAAATAACTCATGCAAATCAACAAGGACTATTTGCTTGACAATGAGGATTAAATTTCGTCGATGCATTTCATGCCAAAGGTCAGGGTGATCGATTAATGCTTGAAAGATCGGCAGGATTACATCTAGCTTCCATATACAGCGATTTCACCGGGACGACTCGTCTGCAGTTTTTTTGCTGCAAGCCTTAGGATCAGTACCAAAGACACGGATTGATCGCAAACCAGTTCTACTACCGCTTACTTTTGACACTGGCGCCGCAAGAATAAAGCAGCAGACACATACACACACCAACATGCAATTCTGCGGCGTTACGTACACTGAATATGAGCTAAGTACGCCGACCGATTAGCTTTCGCGCATCATAAAGTTTCATAGAGCTTGTAATAAAATGCAGCTCATACACACAAAATGAATGTTTCAAAAAAACTTACAATTTCGTCGCCACTCCACCAAACTCACTTTCGAAAGTGGACGGGGCGGTATAACGAAATCGCTACTAAGAGCGCTGCCGTAGGAGCACTGCGTTTATTGTGCGCTGTACGAAGGCTGCATACTAGGTGATAAACAAACAAACCAAGTGCGGTGTATATAACCCGTTGGGCAAACCTGAGCACAACTTCGAAATAATGCTTGGCGCCACTTTTGAAAACTGACATCACTCATTTAGAGATCTGAATTAATGCATACTATTCTGACGATATTTTGGTATAGGGAAAATCAGTGTGGAGCCAATCTGCGCCACTAAAACGTAATCAACAAAAAATTTGCTAAGTGGAATCGTTCAATGTTGTTTGCTGGTTAAACACAGCAAATTTAAATCCAACTCGGTTTCACAGTCGAATTGTCAGAAGCATTAAGCACATCTTGAACGTCAAAAGAATAGCTTAGCTACAATGTCGTCCGCGACCAAAAAACAGTATATTTTAGATTCAATGGAGAGAAAGCTTTCATTTGAACTGAACTGTCTGCCTTCTTTCGCAAATTCTAAATGGTAAATGGTGATCTATTGAGTTAAAATCGAATCAGCTGTTTTCGTTGCACCGTAGCTGACGGACAAGTTTTCAGGCCATTTTCATTATAGATAAGACGACCACTCGCGAAGGACAACTTTGGAATCAACTATATGCTATGATAGACTCTCACTGTTAGATCTAGAGGTAATATTATATTATTGTAATTATTTAGCGGTTACTTTTTCAAAGAAATAACAGGGCGTAACATGAACCGATGCTTCTTGCATCACAGTTTGTTTGCGTTATATAAATTGAGAAGCGAGGCGCGCTTCGCAGGCTAGTCGGAGTGTCCGTGCGCGATTGGCGCGGTGCTGTTCTGTGTAGTGAATAACGACGGTTACTTACAAGTGTGAGAGTAGAAGCTGTCTTATTAATATACATTTTAGTGATAATGATATTTGCATATTACATGTGTGGTGCAATTATTTGGTGACAGCTGAGGCAGTCACTAACGGAAAAGGACGTCCCCGACCGATTTTTTGATCAATCGGTCTGAAACCCTGATCTAGTCTTTTCGTGACTATATATATATGTATATATATAGTCACGAAAAGACTAGATATATATATCTAGATATATATATAACTAGATAGATATATATATGTATCTATCTAGTTTTAATTGGGTCATATCACCATAAGATTATATATA